TTGCCCAGAGAAGCTGTGGATGCCCCCTCCGTGGCAGGGTTCAAGGCCAGGTTGGATGGAGCTCTGAGCAACCTGGTCTAGTGGAAGATGTCCCTGCTCATGGCAGGGGGGGTGGAACCAGATGATCTTTAAGGTCCCTTCCAACCCAAACCATTCTATGATTCTGTAAGCTGGAGCGGTGTTGGGGTAATGAAGCTTTGGTCAGGCACCGGGAGAGGAGCCTGGGTTAAGAAATCCATTGCTGGGGCTGCGGTCGGGTTCCTTGCACTTAACCGTGGCTCTGAAGTCATGCCCTGCTGTCAGGTCATAGATGTGTAAGAGCAGTTAGTGTTAAAGGTTTTTGCAGAGCCGTTAAGTTTTTTGATGTCTCTAAATCTAGATGGTCACCAGGACAGAGGGTCAAATTGATGACTCTCTAATTGGTGGCAATGCCTCTGCTGAAGGTCCTGAGGGAGATGGAACAGAAGCCACGGTCATAACTGGTGTCGATATAGTAATAAACCACCACCTTCAGGAAACCAGCTTTACAAAAGAATCCTACAAGAAGTACATCAAGGACTACATGAAAGCGTAAGTGTCGGTAGGCTTTTTCTCTAAATGGGATTGCAAAGCTTTTAGGTTGCTGAGATTTGTAAAAACAGCGTTGAACTTTATTCCTAGTAGGTGTCAGTTCTGGTACAGGTGCCAGACTGGCTGCGAACGTCAATAATGTCTGAATACGTGGGGAAACTGGAGGTCTAAAGGATTGATGCTGCAATATCAAAGTTTATCTTGGCTGGGGTAGAGGACCTGGTCATGTGTTTTGGATAAAATTTGTAACCTTACTGTTTTCATTCAGATTCCCCTGTGCCAAATGTTCATGTGGAAGGGGGTGAGGTGATGAAGAAAAGCTCCCTGAAGCTTTTCTAACTTGACAGTGTAAATGTCCAAAAAATAATGAGTGTGAATGGAACTTTCTGCTAATGTAAGGTATAACTTCTGTTGCTCACAACTCAGTGGGTTAGTACTAAAGGTGAAAATGCTATGTGATACTGATAGATGGTCTTCTTGGTGCGGTGGAAATGGCTTGTGATTCCTGGAAGTAAAATGAGCTTGATAGGAGTGGCAGGCACCGTTCTGCTAATTCTCTAGAAAAATTAAGTTAAAATTTGGGGGCTTTGAGAGGGAGAGGGGGAAAGGCAGCAAAAGCAAACAGTTTGACTGCTTGTCACTTTCTGCTGTGATGTGATGCTGCACAGTGAAGTTGGTAAGCTAGAAGGTGTTAAGACCTTTTTTTCCTTTCCAGAATCAAGGCCAGACTTGAGGAACACAAACCAGAGAGAGTAAAGCCTTTCATGACAGGGGCTGCGGAACAAATCAAACACATCCTTGCTAACTTCAAAAACTATCAGGTAATGAAGCTTATGTCTCCTTATAGCAGCGTTGGAGTGATACGAGCTGCTCTTGGTTCATCTGCTGAGCTAGCTTGTTGAGAGTTTTGAGGGCTTCTCTTGTGAGGACATCTATCTAACTTGCTCTTCTTTCTGAGTATTAAGGGCTCTGAGTCAGGGAGGAGAAATAGCAAAAGACTTTTAGGTGTTTGGGGGGTCTTGTTTTGGCTTGCAGTTAACTACATTTGTAGTTGTCGCAGTGTAGAGACCGTGGAGTTAAAAGACTTTAGCCCCTGCTGTGTGTTACCACACTGCTATGAAAAGCAGAATAAAGTTACCTGGTACTAAAGTGGACAAGCTGCAGAAAGCAAAATCGCTGCAGCTGGTCAGGGAGACTTTTAAACTGAGCTTGGAGGTGTTATAGCTCCCTTGTATAAAAAGGCACTTTCTCCTGTTAATGGCTCCCTAAATGCCACAGTAACATGTTTCTCTGAAGTTCTTTGTAGGAGAGAACATGAATCCAGATGGCATGGTGGCTCTCCTGGATTTCCGTGAGGATGGTGTGACCCCCTATATGATTTTCTTTAAGGACGGCTTGGAAATCGAGAAATGTGTAAGTAGCGGCCTGGAGTGGGCGAACACGCCCAACCACGTGTCGGCTCAGAGTGCATCAGTGGTTCTGTCGTGTCCCTGTTAAAGCTGAATGGTAGCTGCCAGCTTAAAAACTTCCAGTTCGTGCAAGTACAGCCTAATTGCTGCTTTGTGTTACGCGAAGTTGCTGAAACTTCCCTTGCATACTGTTGAGTTGTACTGAAAGGGGAGATGGTGTCACTGCGGTGATGCGTGGTGACTTAATGGCGAAGAAATGCAGAAAGAATTGCCTTGGTGAGGTGTGCGTGGCTGGTAATGGTTTTAAACTGCTAGGTTAAAGGCAGTGTCCTCTGAAATGGAGCGCTTCTGCTCTGGGTCCCTCATGTGGGGGTTAATTCTGAAGTACCATACTTGGTCACATTCCATCTTTTGCTTAATTTGATGCCTGTATTTTGTTAGGCAAGAACCATCTGTTTAAATATTGCCCTAAATCTGGGAACACAGTAGTACTTGACGGAGTACTTAACCTTACGCTGTCTGGATTCTCCTCCAACTGCCTGAGCTCAGACAGCTCCTGTTCTCTGCTATAACTCCTCTGTGTTGGAACGTGGTTGCAATGGAACAGTGTCTGGATCCCAGTACTTCTGGTTTTTGGCTTACTTGGAGAGCTGTGGAATTCGCTGCAGACCAGCAGTGTGGGATCACCAGTTGCTTTGCCCAGTCGTTGCGGACTTACAAAGTCTGTTTATAGCCAGTTAAATTTATCTGTAAAGCCTCTTGCAGGCTTTCTGGTATGCAGGTCATGTAAAGATGAACCAACTTCCTTTAGCTGGGCTACTGCTCCACCCTGGAACGCTTCTGTTGGCCAAGGCAGATGCACCACCTCCTGCAGCTTGGCTGAAGGGTGATGTCTGTCTGTCCTGGGCCCGAGAACAGGCGGTTACCTGGAACGTACCTCTGAGCTGAAGCTTGCGTGCGTCTCCCCTACTTGGGCAGACCTTCTGGATGTGTCATTTGGGCAACTCCATCTACTTACAAGAGTGGGTGAAAGAATAATAGCAGGGTGTTCCAGTGGGCTAAAAGCTGTTCCAGCATCTTGGTACAGCTCTGCTAAGAGACAACATGTAGCTGCAAGCTTTAGTACTTGTTCAGGACGTGCTTCTGTTTGAGAGGAGATCTGAAACTTTGTGTGTGAATGAGTACCTCGTCTGGCCTGCTCAGCAGCTGCCGCCAGCTGCTCTGTGTGGTTGTAGAAATGCTCAGCATCCTCTGATAGACCATGAGCACGTCTCCCGTTGCTCGCTGGTTTGCATTAAGATGCAAAAATAACTTCCTCGCGCTTTCTGCCTGCCTGAGTGTGGCAGCTCAGATTGAATTGGGGAATACACAGATCAGCTACGGAAACTGAGCCTGACTGTTGTGACCTCGAACTAACGCTTGCTGCTCTTGTTTCAGTAACAAATCAAACAGTATGGTTCTGGATCACCTGTCTTCATAGCTGGCTGCTGTTTCTTCTTCATCGGCACAACACCAGGAATTGGCGATGTCTAACAACAGGACTGATGTCATCTTGAGCTTTGTTCACTGATTTTTGACCCTGATTTGGAGTGGAGGCGTTGTTTTAAAAAAGAAAAAAACCAAACATCTATCATGTAGGTTGTCTAAAATAAAATTCATTTAAACCCATTCTAGGTGACACCTTTTGGTCTGGTGTGTTTCTTAGGGTGGCCTGCAGGAGAGGTTGCAGCAGGACGTTTGTCCAAGGATTTGGTACTGTTGGTAGTGCAGCTTGGTCCTGGCGCTCTGCAGTTTGTCTCCAGGTGGACCTCGCACAGCTTCTGCCTGTGGCATTGGAGCGCGAGAGCAGGCTGAGGGCAATAAGGCAAAGCTCAAGAAGGTCATAGTAGCGGAGTGGACCTTCATCTCTCATGATTGCACAGAGACTTCCATCTCTGGGAGATACCAAAATTAATTAAAAAATGACATGAGAATGGAATGTGCCACTCAAGCTGAGTGCTTGCTGAGCTGCTTTGTCAGACAAGGATGCTCAAATGTGTCCTCAGCTGTAGCGTGACTGCAGGATGAAGGTAGGTTGGATGGAGCCCTTGTCTCACACCAGCGCTCTGTCTGAGCTGGGGTAGTGGGAACAGGGTGGGGAGGGGGTGAAATCACTAGGTTTTCCAACACAGCCAGGCTGTGCTACCGGCTCCTCTGTGCTTGACAGCTGTGCCAGGAGCAGATCAACTAGAACTTGGTCGAGTTTACAGGGTTTTGGGTTTTTCTGTACTTGCCTTCTCCCTGGGGAGGGAAACGCGAGGGGTGGCCTAACTCTGTCCTAGGCTTACTGGGAGGGAGGTGTGTGCCTGGGCTTGAGACTTGGCTGTGTGTTGGTAGCTTCTGTTCCTGCTGTGTTCCTTGCTAGCAGGTGCCTCGCTTTGACAGAGCCGGAGCAACCGGCCATTGCTTCTCTGGCTCTTGCCGAGATGTGACAGCGATGGGTTCCTTGCGCTTTCCACCTGCCTGCCCCCGTGGCAGTCTGGGTTGAGTAGAGGGACACAAACACCTCCGCAGAGCCCCAGGTGGGGTGGGGGTTGTGCTGCTGCTGACAGCATCCCAGGCTCTGCCGGCCTGGGATGGTGCCTAGTCTGCAGGTCCCTACTGTTGCTTCCCGCTGCAGTGAGGGAGAGGCGTAGGAGGTGGAGGTGCTGGAAAGGGGAGGGTGCAGCCTGCTTGTTGGTCTGGTCTGTGAGGCCTTGGGCTTCCCCTTCTGTAGAGTTTTGGCATCTTTGCTGTCGTCTGTCAGCTTTCAGCGCCCCGGTGCCGGGAGGCTGAGGTGGAGGTAGGTCTCCACGGGGGTGAGGTAGATGCGGCAGTGTGCTGGAGGAGGGAGTTGCTGTCTGTGGAGGTGGGAGCAGAGCGTGCCCTAGTTATCTGGGAGGTTCTCGTCTGGTTTAAACACACTCTATTTTAGTTCTCTGGGAACTTCGTTTATATTTTTTTTTTTTAGCTTTCCCAAGGAAGGGTCTTGGGCCAGCTGCGCTTCTGGCTGAGGGACAACTTTGGTGTCATCTGAGCAGTGTAAATGAATGCTCCTCTGCTTTCACCCAACAGGGCTGAAAGGCAGGGAGGCAGGCTCAAAGCCGAAATAAAACCACTGTCAGCCAACTCCTGCTTTCTTTGCAGAGGATTTGTTTAATGGGGCTGGGTGAGGATGTTACCTTACCCCTCCTGCTGCATGTTTGTTAAAAACCGGGAGCCTTAGAGGAACGGGGGGGTAAGCGCTTAGTTTGAGATGTTTTGCTTGTGTGGGCAGGGCAGTGCTTGCATGACTGTGCAGCCCCTGGTCTGGCTGTGCAACCTCTAATGATGCCACTTCCAGTGAGTCTGAGTGTTTAAAACCAAGCAGAGCTGGGGTATGGGAGTGTGAGCAGCTCTTCCCCTGCTTGGCTGGTAACACTGGGGCTGGGAACCCTGGGCATGAGCATGGAGCAGATTGCTGTGTGGCAACTGTGGGTGAATGATGGAGGTGCCATCAGGCCAGCAGGTCGAGGGAGGTTCTCCTCCCCCTCTACCCTGCCCTAGTGAGACCCCATCTGGAGTACTGCATCCAGTTCTGGGCTCCCCACTTCAAGAAAGATGAGTAGCTACTGGAGAGAGTCACGCGGGGGGGTACCACGATGGTGGAGGGG